TACAGTATAAACAAGATTGCGAAATGCTAACAACATTCATCATAAAATGTTGTTAATATTTCTCTGTAAAGAAAAATCATGGATGTTCTAAAAGATGCCACAGAGAAAACAGTAATTTGATAAGAAAAATGCATATTCAACTTTTTTTTTTAACTATGGATTTCCAGTAGTTAATGATGACTCAAACCAGCCACACAAGTACCAGAGAAGCTAATAACGTGTCTGAAGTCACACAGACCAAAAGTTCAGTGTCCATTGGGACTGTGTACAAATACTGAGAGGTAGACAGGTTTTCTTTTTCTTTACACAGACTGTAGGCATTCCATAATGGATGCAGTGAGCGGACTATATTTTAATCTCCAAGTGATCCACATGGAACACTTCACTTATAGGCTGTCTTCTCCACAGTGCTTTCAGGAGCTCCTGACAAGTCATCCCTTCACTGTTGCGATGAAAAATTCCATGAGGTCCTCCGCAGAAGCTGGGGGAACCCCTAAAAAAAAATCCCCTGAAAGCATTTCGCTGATAATTCAGAAGACAACAGGGCAATTTTGGACTGAACTGGCTGTCTGCAGGAGCATTTCTATGAAGACTTTTTATACTGATGAAGGAAGTGAAAGAGCTAAAAACTCAGGAAAGGTCTGGTTGCTTGTCCTCCAGACTCACGTCTCTGGCTCTGTCATGCTTGAACTGAAACACTAAGCATGTCTGTTGCACATTTGCAGCTGCCCAAAGAACAAAACATAACAGAACTAAGTGGAAGATATCTACCCAAATTTCAATGCATGGCATCCCTTGCTGTAGGTTGGCACTAGGATGCAGATATTTCTCAAATATAAAAGTTGTCTTTCAGTGCTGGTTACATCTTAGTGATTGCCAAAATAAAACTCCCATTAAATTGATCAGGAATAAAAGCTAAGATGGGGAATATCAAAACGTTCAAGCCAAATAAATATAAAAAACAAACAAACAAAACAATTCTCAGTCAAATCAGTCCAACACCAAGAGTGAGAGACAGATCAATGTGTGTGGCTCACTTGTAACAGAAAGAGTTAAAAGAAAATTCATAAGGGATATCATCACTCCAGTATGGACTGACCATGTGATAGTAGATAATAAAATTAATGTTCCCAATAATTATCCCCACCACCCAATAGCGGACCCCCCGCTTTTTGTAAAATGAGCACTATTTCCTTTTCACACAGAAACTAGTTTCTATTTCCTTTAAGTGCCTCTTTTGCTTAAGAGATGGATTATCAGTAACTTACCTCTTTAGGTCACGTAAGAAAGAGTAGCATTTCAAAGAAATCACTTGTTTTCATAGCTAAGCTAAAGCTCAGCGACACAACTATCAAGGGGATGAATATTCTCTACTGGGACAGCACTGCTTGTCTGGGCACTATGGAGCTCATCCCTTCCAGCCCAGCACCAGTTTGGCCAGTTAAATCCAGAGAAGTGTATGGTGAACAGCAAGAATACAGTAACTGCTAAAACCTGTAAAGCTGGCCTTACACTAGCATGGGAGCTAACAGCTCACCTAAAGCCAAAATGTTTTGTTCACAAACAAAACTGGGCTGAAGTGGAGAAGGAATGAGGGTAAGGCCTGTCAGAAGAAACCTAAAAGAAAATTAAAAACAGAAGTCAGAAGCAGAAGTTTGGAGTCATTTACACCAGCAAGTGGCACACTGAAAGTTCATAGGATTTTTTTTCTCTTTGTTTCACCTAAAATTGTCCGCTGCTGTAATCTTGGAAATTCTCTCACATGTTCTTTTACACTCCACCAAGTGGTTGCTAGAATGAATGGGAAATAAAGCCTGGGAACAGGTAGAGTAAAAGCAAGTATTTAGAAGTTTTTTCTGTGCACATTAAATCTCTTCTACACGCATTAAGAAGTTAGATGAATTACTCATCACAAGTCTGTAAGAGAACTGAAAATAAGAGAACTGAAAAGCAGTAAAAACAGCTAGTGATAGCCAGCTGTGCTACTGGAAAAGAAAAAAAAGATCTCTATCCATCGGACAGATTTAAATTGAGGTGATTCCAGCATCAGGACCAACATACATTATTTGTATCAAATAATGGGGATATTCTAATAAGCCATAAAACTGTCAGATTCAAAATAAGTTATTATAGTAATTAAAAATAAATAAATAAATAAATAAATATATATATATTAGAAGAAAAGAACAACTATTAAAAATGAAAGCATTTCAAGCAGCAATCCATAGTCAGAAGTGGGGAAAACTATTTTCTAGATTAAGATGGTGGGAGATGAAACAGATGGGTCTGTTACCAACCATCACATGATGAAACTGGGGAAAAAAAAGTGAAATTTCTGACCTCCAAATATCAGAAAAGCTTTCTACTGAGGCAGGACACAACTATTGCTCATAGCATCACACTCAGTCTGACCAGAGCCTGGACTACACTGTCTGTCTACAGGAAACAAGGATAGGAAATGATTTTTTTTTTTCACTTTGCAAGCCACACTGTTATCCAATACCAACATAACCAATCTCCTCTACCAAAAAAGTTAACTGGTAAACATAACTCAGATCCTGTGGTACAGCAGTGTTACATGGATGTAAGTGAAAAGAATATTACTCCTTATTTACTCTAGAAAATATTTATTGCAAGAAGGTTATCTTCAATATCCTTGCAGTAGCACATGATAATCCCTTTCTAGAAGAAGGTCTGAAACAACACCTGCAATACGTACTGATATTTTTAACATATCCCAGAGGTAAAAATAGTAATTTCATTTCAGATGGGCGGTAGTCATTCCATGTCTGGCAAACAAACCATCAGTCCTGCACTGATCAAACCAGCCAGTTCATAGGAGGAAGTCTGTCTAGTCCCTCATCCTGGACTCACAGAACCTAACTGGTGACTTACAGCTGCTTTTAACTGGAAGTCCCAGTGGTGCCCCCCTCTCTTTTAACTTGAGGCTGCAAGGTGTAGAGAGATGTGGTAGAGAATAGGCTCCCTTGCCTCCTCTGTTTCCAGTGAGAGCTGAACCAGCAGTCTGCACTCAGTTCTGGAGTATGAAGTCTTTAAATTTGACTTCCAGAAGAATGTTCACTTATATATCCAGATCTCCCCAAATGTAAGAGTGGGCATTTACCCATCTAGCAATCTAAGCATGCAGATAAACCATGTGCTGCCTATGTCTGAAGGCTTGGTCCAGTATACTACAGATTAGTTTATTTTAAAATCCTGAATTACTTGAGAAAGAGTCCAAGCACTTCAATTATTATTATTTTTTTTATAGAAAAGAATCATAGATTAGCTCAGAAGAGACCTCTAGCAACTATCTAGTGCAAGTTTTGTTCAGAACAGGCTTAAGAATTACATCAGGTTGCTCATGACTTGGTCTGTTTTGAATATTTCCAGGGAGGTGGATTACTCAGTCACTACACAGCCTGCTCCATTGTTTCCACTCTTGTGGTAAGTTTGTTCCCCAGAAGAAAACCAGTAGTGCACCCTTTGAGTAGGGTCTGGATCTAGCATCCCTACAACCCTCCCAGTAATTCACTGAGGAGAGCCCCAACCTGAAGAAGCTCAGCCTCTCATTGTTCATGCTAGGTATGAAAACAAATACGGTACTGATACCATCTCTTCCTTCCTTTCTCATCCTGTTCAGGGGGGTTAAAAGCAGTTGGTAAATAAGTCTGTCTGCGTGAAGGTCAGTATTTACCTGATAACGTGCAGATAAATGTTTCCTGTGGTACAGACTATACAGGGGCATTTATGTCACTACTAGCATGCAGAGGATCAGTAGCCTCCTGTGGTTAAACCCATCCTGATACAGAGTGTCCCTGAACGTGCATCATCGTCCCGAGTCCTTTGTACCACAGTCCACTACGGGACTGTAAATAAGTGAACAACTCAGTTACCACAGCCATACGCAGCCTTGTACAAAACATTTGTGAGCTATTTCTAAGAGCTAATGAGCTAATCAAAGCTGTAAGCATTATCTAAGAACACAACATTTTTGAAATTGTCCAGAAAAAAACAAAACAAAACATGGATATGTCCAAGGACCAGATGAAGTACTTACACCTCTAAAGCAACCCAGACAAATAAGCAGAGGCTATTTCTATCTTTTCAGGGTAACAATTAATTCATCTTGCTATATATCCATGGTGTCATCTTTGCAGTGGAATTCAAGTAGATCTGAAAAATGCACATCTCCCTGGAACAGCCTGTAGTGTTCACATTGCCTTTACAAACAACAGCTCACATCAATCTTTAGACCGTTCTGAATCACCTCATGTTTCAGAGACTTTCCTGAAATATGTCAGTGTACTTCCAAATAATCTGACTTGGAGAAATTAAATGGAATTTCCCCAAATTTTCACGACACAAAACCCTTTCCTATGAAAATTACTTTCAAACATTTGCACTGCTTGTGGGGCTGAACAAATCAGACGCCTCTATTCTAAGAGTATTCTTGTTTGAAGAGCAACTGGTATATACACAACTAGCAAATAGTTTGTTACATAGGGAATGTTAATATTGGTATATCTGAAAGCACTCATTTCTAGCTTACAACCGATTTGATGGGTTGAAGTGAGAGTATGCAATTTCAGAGCACACCTGGTATAACAGACACATAGCAGGTGAGTTGTGTCAAGATTAAACTGCAATATTTGGAGCCCATTAGATAAACTCAAAGAAGAACTGCTGATTTGAAAAGACCAATCAGAGAGGGACAAGAATTCAAGGTTCTGAAGTTCTTTTTTTTTTTTTTTTTGATGGGGGGGGGTGTGTAATGCAGACACACAAAACAAACCCAAAGTAATTCAGTTTCATCCGGTTTAACCTCGACCACGAGACACTGCTGTCTGTTTTCTTTCTCAAAAGACTCACGTCACCGCACACTGAAAAAAGGGAACTTCCACAGTTTGCGGTGAGGCTGCACGATAAACAGATCTGTTCACACCAACTAGCAGGGCTGCCTGCGTCAATAAAAGGAGGTAGCAGTCAGGGAACTGGCATTTGGTGCTTGGAGGATTATCGCTGCGCAAGGCGCTTCGCATCAAGGCTAAGTAAAATGCCAGGATTATTTTTCTCCCACCACAACATGACTGAAATAAATGGAAAAGACGACTGCAAGCTTGCAGAAGGCAAAATCCATAAAAAGAAGCAAAAGGCTTTGTAAGTATACATGTCTCAGTCTAAACTCTAATGTGTTAGAAATGAAAATAACACTAGATCTTGAAGATTAAGAATTAGCGCCTTTTTCAGGCTAACTGACTGCTAACTAACTCCTGCTCAAAGCCCAGGAATATAGCATCACTGTAAGTGGCTTGAGCTAATAGAAACCAACGAATTGATTAATTTAGGCAAGCAGGATGAGATTTTTGGATACAGTGGCAGTCAGTCTTTTGAGAAGAATTACATGGATATGCAACTTCACAGGCTTCAGTCCTAGGATTGAGCTGTTTGCCTCTATTTAAGCTTTAAGGAATTTATGTAGAATTGAAATGCAACTGCGATTGTAAAGGATTACAGAATGTCTGTTCATTGGTTTCAGTGGTGCGGATCTCAAGAATTATTTGAAGTGCATGGTCCCGCATCTTGAATCTGGGATTAAGGCTTCCAACTCCAGAAATGTCGTGTAAGTACAAAAAGCAAATCTATGGTTAGATTGCTATATATTCCAACTACTTTTTACTGGCTTCTAAACTACTCTTAGACCAATAAATTATTTCTAACACAACAAAATAGTGCCTGAAATTTTCAAAAGGGACTAATATTATAAATTCATTAATAATTTCTGCTTCCTAAATTCATTGTTAGTGATGATTATATTTGCATCAAATGATGGGGAAGAAGAAGCCTCTCTTAAATCTATCTTCTTCAGAGGCATATCATATCCAATCTGTAAAGGTTTACAAGAAAAAATGCTTCATGCTCAAGGGAATAGCCAAGGTATTACAAGTCTCATTTCAGATATATGGAAACAGTAACATGGATTCAAAAGGATTTGGTCATAGTCACGGTAGCAGCTCATCTTTCAGGGAACAGAATTCAGAGTGACTGCACAGTTGCCTGTTTTTCCATTTTTCCAATTATTTTTCCTCAGTCTGGGCTCTCAGATCTGCACTGAGAAAGCCATAAGTTTAATAAATGTGTTACATATTTCTGGAATAGAATAATCAATTATAAAACTTGTCTGCTTTAAACATGCAAGTGAAAATGTGATTTCTTACCTAAAGCCTTTTCCTTCTCCTGTCAATTTAGGCTTTCTGCAGAGGAAGTAATGCAGTGGTCCCAGTCTTTGGAAAAGCTCTTGGCCAGCCAAAGTAAGTACTTTACTTTAGTAGTACTTTTTTCTTATTCTGCAGATAAAAATTTATCTAATTTCACCAAATATGCAAAGCTGCAGCATCCTGCAAACACTGACAAAGAATGAGCATTTCAGTTATTCACAGCTCCAATATTCTAATTGGATTCCAAAAATTTGTCTCCCCTGCCCTGTTTCATACCTTTAGTATAGCAAATAACCCCCCAAAAGCTCAATTCACTGCTTTCTGACCAGTTCTGTCCCTGTACAACACTGATTTAACTCTGAATTCTGCCTTCAGCTATACCCTAGGACAGTCTATTTAGGGAAGACTAGAATCTGATGATATGTTTTGGTACCTGGGGTCTAGATCTAAAAGCCACTGAATGCCATTAGGAAGAGTCCCATCCCCCTTAGAACTGGAGTATTTGCAGTATGTAAAAAGAAAAGGGAGAACACTATTTTGGCAAGATTTTTATACCAGAGATTTCACTCCTGCTATAAACTATTTATTTTTTATCACCCCTGGTCACAAACATCATATGGTGTATTTGTGTTGGCTGTAGGTGGTCAAGGTGTCTTTCGGGAGTTCCTGAAGTCAGAGTTCAGCGAGGAGAACATTGAGTTCTGGCTGGCCTGCGAGGATTACAAGAAAACCAAGTCTGATCACTTACATGGCAAAGCAGAGAGGATTTACGAGGAGTTTGTCCAGTCAGATGCTATTAAACAGGTAAGTGTTAACTTAATCTGTATAAACTTACCGTAAAGGGATTCTGAAAATTGAGGAGAGGGAAGCATTCCCCCACTGAGATGCACATAAATTCACTTACACAGGAAGATGACAGCCACATGTTTTCTGTGCATGCTCGTACCGTTAGTGCCTTCAGACATGAGTCTATCAGACCTCACAAGTGCAGTCACACGACACAGGCCAGCACTACTACAGTGCCAGCAGAAGTTCAGTTGCAGCACTAGTGGCTTGACACATGATGCTGTTCTCTCCGAGTCAGCACAGTTTGAATTACTGCTGGCGTTTGGGGTCAGACCGCTGGAGTAAGCTTGGCTTGTAAGAGAGCTGTGGATTATTTGTTGTCCTTTAAAATATGGGGACATGCTAGAGAATTGAACGTTGTGTACAACGAACATAGCTCTAACTGGAGACTCATTCTACACAAGATTTCTTCTTGTTTTAATTTGAGGTTTCATTGGAGACAGTAATTCATTGTTCAGCTCTAGTGCCTCTGACTTTTTAAGAAACTGCATTTCTATTGTGCGTAGCTGGGATATAAACTTCAAGTTCCCTCATTTTGCAGTTCTGATACTGAATATCACACTGAGCTTTAAGGCTAGGAATTTATTTACTGACAAGACCAAGTGATAGATACAGCAGAAGAGTACATTTTAAACATGTCGATGACTTTTTTTTTTTTACTTTACAGATCAATATTGACTATCATATGAGGGAAGCGACAGCCAAAAGGGCTCAAGACCCAACTCACACAAGTTTCGATGAAGCCCAGAAAACTGTGTATGTCCTTATGGAGAGGGATTCATATCCCAGATTTTTGAAATCCAAAGCCTACCTGAACCTATTGAACCAGCTGCAGACCAACAATTCAAAATAAAGGGGTTGAGATAATGAAGAGGCAAGGAAACTATGTCAAATATCCCATGGAAACATCCTCCAGGATGGCTGGATCTTGGCTAGGAGAATGCTCTCCCTGGGAGGAGGTATGAGTGAGATGCAAACAGCTCCATGGCCAAGAGAAGGCAGGATAAAAGCTAGCAAGACTGCTACAAGGGCGAGAGCAGTACATGGAGAAAATCCTCTCCTGCCATACATACATCATGGAGATGAGACAGGATCTGGATGCTATTTATTATTTGAATTCCACTGTGAACATTGAACCAAGTCTTAGATGCCAAAGAACTGCTGGTTATTAGGAAGCACAAGATTAGCACGCTGAGTGTTGGGAAAAGATGATCAAGTTCAGAAGAAAAATAAGGACAACTGACAACTTTGTGCATAACAAGAAAATGCCCAAGACTGTTTAATGGCTTTTTTAAAAAAATCTGTGAAGTGTTAATAAGTGTGAGTGCAGCTCCATGATAATATTGTGCTATGTATATATTATAAATTGACTTATTTTTAAAATTGATCTCTTTTAAGTTATATAAGAACTATATAAGCTGTACTTTTTATTTTTTTTTTAAATTTGTATTCAACAAGCAGATATGTAGCATCTTTTCTGTTTAATTTATTGCAAAATAATAAGCAACTCTTCAATTAAATCTACTCAAAATACAGAAAAAAGTTATGGTAATTTTCCATCTTATTTTTTTGTTTTCTTTCCATTACAATTACTGAAACATGCCAAAAGAAGTACTGAAGCACATGGTTCCCTTCTGTCCCACTATGTCACTACTTCCCATCTCCTTATTCAAATATTATTTTTTCCCTCTCACCCCACAGGCCCTTCTCTCTCTCCTACTCACTTTACAGAGACATGGCCTTAGTTATATGGAATACCGGATCCTACATAGACAACACCCACTCACCCCCAAATGAAAAAGAAAAAGTAGGCCCAAATTTCCTGCTTATTTTTCGTACTCCCCCAGCTACCGGCGTTTGAGTCAAATCTCAAATTTCATTTGAAAAATCTCCATTTCATCACTGACTTCAGCATCAAAGTGGATTAACTGTGATGTGTTGAGTACAGAAGATAAAATCTTGCTCACTTACACAGAGAGGCAGTAACTGGTGTGACTCAATAGCGTTCACATTTCTTATGGTATTAATGCTATAGACTAATTTTAGCAAGATTCAGCCTAATTTCCAATATCAATAGTCATTTAATTTCATTGCAGACAAAGCATTAAATTTACTCTGTAATACATGCAGTGTTATGCACAGCCTGTACCACACTGGATAGTGATGGGAACCAAAGAAAGAAAAATTGCACTTGTACTCAAACTATGCAGCTACAGAAACAGGGACTACCAAATCTGAAGTGCTTAAAATCTTGTGATGACATTACAGTTTGTAATGAAAATGAATTCAAGCGTGTTCTGGTCTTGATGAGTTACCATCATGAGAGACAGCTATCACATGCGTGGCAATACAAGACGTGGCAGTACAAGACTAGCTCACCCTGACAGATTTTCCATTTTCCAGAACATGAGCTTCATCAGGCACACTCTGCCTGTCTGTACCAGGTGGAGAAAAGCTGTAAACCCACAGACTCCCCTCGTGGGGAAAGACTGTGCTCACACTGCCACCCTTTGGGGACCTTGGGGCCTCCAAGGGAGGACAAAGGGTCTGTGGGAGGCTACATGGCAGTTGCTGCCAGCTTCCTCCATCGCCTACTGTCATAGCAGCCTGGCAGCCACCACAAGGCACAGCCTCCTACTTCTAAAACTAGTGTAGAGAGAGAGAACAAGCACGCATATACCCGAGGGAGTCTCCGACTGCAAAGCCTGAATTCTCCTGAAACAACGTGAACTGGTCTCCAATCAGCTCTCTTAGATAAGCTGATTTTCCAAGATCAGTAGGAATAAAGTGAGTTCCTGTGAAGTAGGAAATAACACTGCCTCCCACACCAGGGGCATCCTCATCTTTGCTGACACACTTAGCATGTACCAAACGTCACTGTTCGCATAGTTCGAAAGCCACGGAAGACAAAGGAGTACCGCCAGTGCTTTTTTTTTTTTTTGTTATTATTATTTACTTAGGAAACCAGGTCCCTGTGTGCACTGATCACATGCTCACAGAATTAATAAGAAGCAGCTATCTACATCTCCTTTGTACATCACACAGTGTCCTTACAGCACTTCCAAAGCGCCCCCACAAGCCTGTCAAAGATGCAACGTCAGCTCCACTCTGCACAGGCAGTGCCTTTAACTGATGCTATCCTCGTAAACCTTTTAAAATTAGTATAGGCACAAATTTAATTTACAGCACAAATCTACACCTGCACTATTTTGCCATGATCTAGCCAAACACCTGTATGAAGCTTCTGACAGAAATCATATTTCACAGTATGTTATGTAGTAGGTTAGTTATGATTTTTGTTTGTTTGTTTTTAAAAAGAAAACAAATTATGCTCCTTACAATCCAGCAATTTTACTTTACAACCCTAAAATTCATAAATGCCCCTGCAGTAAGGGCCTGAAACTAGCCCTACAAGTCAGGTGCCCAGGTCACCAGGTCTTACAGCCCCCTCCAGGGCTCGAGCAACACGGCCGTGCTTCACCGGGGGATAAACAGCGCTCAGAAATGCAGAGCTATCTCTGGGATGCTGTCACAAGCCCCGTGTTACATAGCTGTTGCTACAGCAGGGCTATACAAAGCCGGTTGTTTAAACAAGGTGCAGGAGATCTCAACATATTTTACGGAAATTTATTGTGCTGTCCATATTAATCTACCTAATGGAGAGAAGCTATAAGTAATAGCTCAATGGTACAACTGAAACAGCTTTAAAAGTACTTTAAGACAAGTGCTTTAAAACAGCAGAAAGTTAGGGGAGGTGTTTTTTAAATTATTTCTGCAAAATCTTTTTCACAATGCAGTATACAGTGCTTATTTTGCAGTGAATTCTTCCCTTGAACCTAAAAATGGAAGTTTTTTTGGGCTCTGAAAAACAAGAGAACATCCAGAACAAAGGGATTAAGCTTTGTGACCTCAGATCATTGACAAGGTGCATGCACTCTATCAAGTTCATTTGTGATTTCTTACTCATCTCCTCCTGCCCCCACCCATGCACATAAATAGCCTTGGTGCTGTAAATCGGTTTCACAGCTGCGGGTCATGCCCTGCCAAGCAGGGCAGACTCTTCCAAAACAGCGCACGTTACACAGCCCTTCCGTAAGTGTGCCCCCCACGGAGAAACTTGTGAACAAAAGGTCTGGTTGCTATACTTGTAAATATGTTAGGTAACTGGTGGAAACTGTCCTTCTTCAACATATGCTAGAGTTGATCATCAGTTACCTGGTAAAACTTTCCAGAATTGGTTTGTGCAAGAGGGAATTAAGTTTTTGCACTTACAGGTTCTATCAGCCAACATAATAAAATATTTAATGGGTGAAACACCTTACCTGCTTTGTTTGGTTGATTTTTAATTTTAACTTTCCTCTTTCGGAAACAAATATACCATAAGAGAGTAGGAATTTGCAGTTCTGTTTAAGGACTGAGAGATAAACCATTGATTCAGACTGGCCATCAGCTACAGATCAGTACTTGAAAGCAGGATGCTGTACAGGGAGAAACTAAGATTTGACAGTTGTGACTCAGACTTGTCTTTAAGAGTTCCTTTCCACTGCTCAAGGAAACATCTTCAGTGTTTGTCAGTGTTTCAGTAGTTATCAGTGTTTCAGTAGGAAAAAAAATAATCATGGTGCCACCTTAGGGCAGATTTTCAGAGTGAGTTAACTTCTCACAGCTGTAGAGAGTTTTCTTTAGGAAGAACTCAAGAGCCCAACTTTGCAGACACAATGCGAAACTGCAAGGCTCATTTTAGTCTCTCCAGTTTGAAAAACTTCCTGAAAACGTATTCCCCAAAATAGATGTTTTAATATTATAGAATTG